GGCTGAGGCAGGAGAATGGCGTGAACCCGGGAGGAGGAGCTTGCAGTGAGCCAAGATCGCACCACTGCACTCCAGCCTGGGCAATAGAGCAAGACTCCGTCTCAAAAAAAAAAAAGAAGGAACGACGTGCAAGTGAAGGCCTTGGTCTTGTGTGGGGACCGCGCAGGGAACCCTTTCCAGGGCAGGTGACGCCCCACAGGGGAAGGAGGACAATGGGAGGCTGTAGGGAGAGTTTGCAAGTCCCCATCCAATGGGGCTGGGATGTGGCCAGTGCCGTGGCTTCAGGACATCAAGCTGCTTTGGCAGGGGCTGCCGGGTATAGCTGGGCATGGGCGTAGGGGACCAAATCCAGGCGCCCGCCTGCCACACCCCAGCTTGTGGGTGGGGGATGGGCTTTCTGTGGTGCCCCCCCGTGAGGGCTGCTTATGCCTCTCTGGTTCCACAGGAAGTTGCTCTTGTGCCCCGCAGGGCTGATAGGATGGGCTGCAGGGGAGAAGCTCTGATGGGCAAGCGCCGCAAGTGCAGGTGTAGGGGGAGGTGAGTGGAGAGGTGGCAATTTTTCAGAACCCACAGGCCCCCAAGCCCATCCCCCATCCTGGGGTGTATCAGGTAATGGGGGGTGAGCAGGAATCCTGGGGGCGGTCAGGGAATCTTCTCCTCTGTGATTCCAATCTCCTGCCTCCCAGTGGCCAAGTGTGAATTCTTCAACGCGGGCGGGAGCGTGAAGGACCGCATCAGCCTGCGGATGATTGAGGATGCTGAGCGCGCCGGGACGCTGAAGCCCGGGGACACGATTATCGAGCCGACATCTGGGAACACCGGTGGGTGCCCGGCCCAGTAGGGGTGGCCAGGCTGGCTGTCCCCTAGCCATGCTGAGCCTGCCGGAACCTGGGGGGGATGGCTGAGCTACAGCTGCATGTGCTGGCCCACCCGGCCTCCTGCTCCCTGGCATCTCGCGCCCGCTGCCGGCGTGTGTCCCAGCCCAGCTCCCTCTGACCAGCGGTTGGGGCCAGTGCCGATGCTGTTGGGGCGATGGCACCTGGCAGTGCCTGGCACATGGACGAGCACCCAGAGTCTGCTGTTCCTGTGCCCATGTACCCAGCCGGGCCTGGAAGAACCAGATGTCCCGTCCTGCACTGCTCCCTCCTCCTCCTTGGCGTGTACCTTTTATTCCCGCCTCTGGCAGCCTCTCTTCCCCTGCACTTGAAGGCAGAAGCAGCTATGTTGGGCAATTTTGGAATCCCACAGAACCCTCTTCCCTGGGCCCTAGGGGAGCCGGCATCAGGGTGTGCCCCTATGTCCCAGGCAGGGGTGGGGCGGGACTTGGAGGGGCACCGGGCCCCTCTCATCCTCTCTGTGCCTTCAGGGATTGGGCTGGCCCTGACTGCAGCTGTGAGGGGCTATCGCTGCATCATCGTGATGCCGGAGAAGATGAGCTCGGAGAAGGTGTGTGGGCACAGCCAGGGGCGGGGTCATAGGGCAGGGGATGAGGGTGCCTGGGCCAGGCAAAAGGTGCAGGCCACCGCCTTCCCTCCTGCAGGTGGATGTGCTGCGGGCCCTGGGGGCCGAGATTGTGAGGACGCCCACCAATGCCAGGTTCGACTCCCCAGAGTCACACGTGGGCGTGGCCTGGCGGCTGAAGAATGAAATCCCCAATTCTCACATCCTAGACCAGGTGAGGCGCCTGGGGCCTGGAGATGGGCATTCCCTAGGAGGGTCTCGGTCAGGGATGTGGGGGTGACTGAGGTGTCAGGGGCCAGCTCACGGGCTCTGCTCTCTTTCTATGCAGTACCGCAATGCCAGCAACCCCCTGGCTCACTACGACACCACCGCTGATGAGATCCTGCGGCAGTGTGACGGTGCGTCCCTCTGTCCATCTTGATTGCATTTATCCCTGGCTGCCTGGGAGTGTACAAATCTCTTGCCCTCTCCTTGGTGAACTCCTATTCACCCTTCAAAACCCAGCTCAAATGTTCCCTCTGTGAAATGCTATCTAGAGCATTTCTCTAGAACAGTTTCCTCCCTCCCTTGTGCCCTCTTGGCCTCTGCCTGTGCCTTACATGTAACAATCTCTGCAGGTCTGCAGGGGCTCCTCCCACAGAGAATGTAGGGAGTGAGTCTGTTCAGGGCCCAGGCTGGTGCTGGGCTCACAGCTGGGACTTCAGCTGGGATCATGCCCTGACTCGGCATCAAATTCCTCTGCAGAACAGGGCTGGTGACATCTGCGATGAGTTCACTCTGTTACAGGCATGAGGCCGGCTCCTTGGGCCCTTTTCCAGGGACTCGGTGCCAAGGCCTGTGGGGGTTGGTACTGATGTTTTCGCAAGAGATTCCTTTAGAGAGAAGTTGCCAGGAGGTTGGCGCCCTGGCTTCCTGTTGGGAATCTGGTGTTGGCATGGGCTGGAGCACACCCTCAGTCCATGCCCAGGAGCCAGGCTGTACGGTCCAGGCATTTGCTTGTTTGGGCTTTATGTGTGAGAACTCTCTGGTTTGGCAAAAGCAGTCCTGTCTCAGCATGGGTGCCCGAGCGGCTCCCCCTCACTGAGTCTTTCCCTGCTGTGGCTTGTCTGCCAGATGCCTGTGCTGGCCGCCAGCAGTGTGAGTGCCCAGCGAGTTTCTGAGCTGAAGCCTGAACGACTGATTCCATTTCCTGTGCCAATTCAGTTAACTCACTCACACCATGCAAACATCCAACAGCCCATGGAGGTGATTAATTCGCAGCCTCCCTCTGCCCGCCCTCAGCGCCTGCACCCCCGGACAGGGCCCTGTCTTTCTGCATCCAGCCAAATGGGGGTTTTAGGGGCCGAGTGTCATTGAGCAAAGACTGGGCTGGGGTGCCCCAGGCTGCCTGTTTCTGAGGCTTTCACAGACCAAGGGCAGCAATGAGGGCTGCTCCAACTGGAGAAGAAGTCTTTCTTTTGAGCTTTTTGGTCACCCGCCGTGGTTAGGGCCGAGTGTGTTTTCAATGATTTTTTTTTTTTTTTTTTTTTTTTTTGGAGACGGAGTCTCGCTCAGTCGCCCAGGCTGGAGTGCAGTGGCACGATCTCGGCTCACTGCAAGCTCCGCCTCCCGGGCCTACGCCATTCTCCTGCCTCAGCCGCCCGAGTAGCTGGGACCACAGGTGCCCGCCACCACGCCCGGCTAATTTTTTGTATTTTTAGTAGAGACAGGGTTTCACCGTGTTCGCCAGGATGGTCTCAATCTCCTGACCTTGTGATCCGCCCGCCTCAGCCTCCCAAAGTGCTGGGATTACAGGCGTGAGCCACCGTGCCCAGCCTTCAATGATTATTACTATGAGTGATGGGCTGGCCAGGCGAGGACCTGAGAATGTTATCCATCCACCAGGGAAACTGGACATGCTGGTGGCTTCAGTGGGCACAGGTGGCACCATCACGGGCATTGCCAGGAAGCTGAAGGAGAAGTGTCCTGGATGCAGGGTGAGTGGTGTGACCGGGCCCGGGAGGGGCAGTGTGGAGTGGCCCCGACTTCTGAACTGAAAGCTCTCATTCCTCACCATCTGCTCCACCCACTGTCTTCCGTGGTATTTCTACACTGCTTGGGAGGTGTTTGGAAAGACGGTGTTTGACAGATAAGGGACCAGCAGCTCGTGACCCGAAGGAGCTGGGGCTGGGTGCTCGCTCACTGGCCAGTGTCTCGGAGGGGCTTCCTGCGCTGAGTGGGGGGTTGGAGTTCCATCTAAGGGCTCTGAGAATCAGCCAGGAGCTCTAAGTCCTCTGGTCCTGAGTCTGCCCCTCGCCTGGGGTTTGAGGGAGTTGGGGGAGGGTTCCTGGTCTCAGGGTTAAGAGCAGGTCTGAGGTGCCTAGAAAGGTCCCACTGATGAGACAAGAGTGTTATCTCCCTGTTGCTTGCCCTTGAAAAAGACATCACTGCCCAGCAATGCCCTTTGTCCCCGAAGGCTCTGGTGCTTCACCGCAGGGTAGTCTGTCTGGGCTGTCCTGGGGGCCCCGCTCCGAGAAGCCCCCGGGGAGGTCACTTCCTCCCAGACACCCGCTTTCACTTCTGAGCGTCCTGCACTGAACGTTTAGTCCAGACGAGGTCATTATCGCTTTAATACGTGGGGCCTGGGTTCCTGGGTTTCTCGTCCTGCCTCGGAGGCCGGGAACCGGCCACCACCCATGGGCGGAGTGTTAACAGGCGCTTGTTCACGGCGGTATTGGCCACTCCAGTGATAGAATAGTCAGGCATGTCCAGCGGGGGCTTTTGCTGGCCCTGAGCCCTGAAGCTGCACGCTCTGCAGATCATCGGGGTGGATCCCGAAGGGTCCATCCTCGCGGAGCCAGAGGAGCTGAACCAGACAGAGCAGACAACCTACGAGGTGGAAGGGATCGGCTATGACTTCATCCCCACGGTGCTGGACAGGACGGTAGGTTGAGTCCTGAGCCTGGCCGCAGTGCAGCCTGTAACTCACCCTCACACTGGAGAGCCTGGCTGATCCTGGGCCCCAACCGGCTCCTCCGCTGAGGGGAACAGAAGGGCAAGCCCCGGCACGCGTGGTGAGAAGCTGATCTCGCAGGTCGAGACAAAGTAGACTGGGGGACGATGTCTGCACATGTGGCCTGACCTCACCAAGGGATGTAGCCCAGGTGGCACAGGCAGGGAGCAGGAACATTAAGGGAAAACGTGGGAAAATTAAGGCCCCAGAAAACTCTGTTAAGAGGCAAAAAGGTGGATTTGGCCTGAGTGAGAGCGGAGACCAAAGGGCCCCTGCAGGTCACACGGATGCTCAGTGGGGCTGGCGGGCAGTTTTACTGTCTGCAAAACATGTTAGAACTGGAAGGTCTGCAGACGTGCCGATCCCAGAGGGAGAGGCTGGGGCGTGACCTCTGGGGTCCTGCTGCCTAGACACGGGGTCCACCACAAGGCTGTTCACCCCCTTGGCCACGTGGAAGTGGCTCCCACACTGACGGGCTGTGGGGGGTCCCGCTCAGGTGGTGGACAAATGGTTCAAGAGTAACGACGAGGAGGCGTTCACCTTTGCCCGCATGCTCATCGCACAAGAGGGGCTGCTGTGTGGTGAGTGGGTGGCAGGCACGGGGGTACGGGGATGGCAGAGATGGATGGGGGCACCGGGGATGGCTGGGGGCGCACCCTCTGCCAGCCACCAGCCTGCATGTGTAAGACAGCAGTTCTGAGGAGTGTCACTGCTGCAGCCACGAGCCTCAGGTGTTATCTGTCTGCCTGGGTCCTCACCTGCCCAGTGTGGTCACCTGCTCAGGTGAGGGCAGGAGACCACGGGGCAGGGCTTCGAGCTGCCTTCCAGAATGTGTTTCTAGAACAAGGCTGAAGCTCTCATGGCACTTACTGTTTCTAATCAAGCCCACCAGGGCCCCTGGAGCAGTGGCTCTGCACTGACGGGGCCCATGGCCAGGACTGGGTGCTGCGAGCACCCTGGAACAGCTGGGGAGGGGCTCTGGAGCCTGAGGCTGTCCAGGATCGACCCCACTCACCTTCCTCCCACCCCGTGCCCCTCTGCCCACCTGCTTGGGGGCTGGCAATGCCACTGACCAGCCACACAGGCAGCAGAGGCTGTAGGGACCACAGTTGATCTGGACATCTGGGGACTCGGAGAGCACACACCAGCTTCTAAAACCCAGGCAGGGACATATGAGGTTTTTACTTGTGCATTCCCTGTGTCATGTCACTTTGCAGGTGGTGACAGGGAAAGTGGAAGGAAACCAGCCCTCAGTGTGGGGGATAGCTGAGCCCCAAACTAGAGACTGGAAGCAAGTCTTGATTGAAAAGCCATTTCCTAGCCAGGCGCGGTGGCTCATGCCTATAATCCCAGCACTTTACGAGGTTGAGGCGGGCAGATCACCTGAGGTCAGGAGTTCAAGACCAGCCTGGCCAACATGGTGAAACCCCATCTCTACTAAAATACACACACACAAAATTAGCCGGGCGTGGTGGTGCACGCCTGTAATCCCAGCTACTCAGGAGGCTGAGGCAGGAGAATTGCTTGAACCTGGGAGGTGGAGGTTGCAGTGAGCTGAGATTGTGCCACTGCACTCCAGCCTGGGCAACAGAGCAAAAACTCCATCTCAAAAAAAGAAAAGAAAAGAAAAGAAAACCATTGCCCAGATGTGTCTGTCATCTGTCATGAAAGGTGTCTTGGTGCCCATAAATGCTGCGCTCTCCCCATCTCAGTCTCCCTGTTCCCCGTGTTGGTGGAGAAACAAGCCCCTGCCTTTGGGGCTGGAAAGCAGGTCCGTGGGCCCCATTACAGAGGAGCGCACCTCTCTTCCTGCGGGTGCTCCTGGTGCAGACTTAGACCTTCCCGACTGCTGTGTGCACCCTCAAACTAAGCCCGGAGAAGACGCCTCAGACTCTGACTTCAGGGATCCTAGGCACAGCTGGTGTCACCGTGAGCTTTGGCCTCTTGTTTATAAAGCAGAGCCCAGTGTGCAGTCAGGCAGCCTGCAGGCGTGGTGCTGCAGGCGTGGTGCTGGGGACTCCGTCCTCAGAGCATCGCTGGCTCTCGGCTCAGGGCCAGGAGATGTGCCAGGGGCCGCAGCCCCACCGCAGGCATTTTCCTGGCACCAGTGCCCACCCCAGCCTAGCAGGAGCCCCTTTTGCTCCCGGATCTTTTGTTTCCTGGGTGTGGGTTTCGTTATGAAGCCCCGAGTGGACATGAAAACTCCATGGTGCACAAGGAGGAAGCCGATGCTCACGGAGAAGTGGGGTCCTCCCAGCCCCTCTCCCCGAGGCAGCCCCTCTTGACGGATCCTTCTGAGCGTGTCTGACATGCTTCCATGCATGCAGGTGCACAATTCATGCACTCACGTGCACCCATGCACACTCACCCTGGCGCGTCTGACTCGTGTGCACAATTCATGCACATGCGTGCACCCACACGCACGCACCATGGCCCTCTCTGCAGGTGGCAGTGCTGGCAGCACGATGGCGGTGGCCGTGAAGGCTGCGCAGGAGCTGCAGGAGGGCCAGCGCTGCGTGGTCATTCTGCCCGACTCGGTGCGAAACTACATGTAAGACATGGCTTCCCTCCCAGGTCCCTGCTCCTCTCTGTCCTGCCACCCTTCCCTGGATGCCTCACCTGAGAGCCGGCAGCCAGAGCTGGGAGGGAAGGAAGCCAGCGGGGCCCTGTGAGCACTGCCTCCTCTCTCCTGCCCGGGTGCCCTCATGCTGTTGGGCTTCCCAGCCCCTTAATGCTGTGAAAATCAATGCACGTTCACAGGGACAGCCCTGATGGGAGGGGCATGGAAGGCGGTGGTTCCCTCTCTATCCCTCCTGTCCGTCCCTCTCTGGTGTCTGACCCCTCACTGCTCTGGGGTGCGTGAGCTCCAGGGGGTAGCCCTGGCCACATGGACTGACATCCTCTTGGGCCGGGCCCTGTGCCACCTCCTATCCACCCCGACTCCCTCTGCTGCTTCCCCCAAACTCCAGGCTGGGACCGAGTGCTGCCCGGGTGGCAAGAACGCTGCTGCCCTCGTGGCAAGAGCCCTGCTGCCCAGGTGGCCCCCTAGGACGTGCTGTGACTGTTTTGCCCAGAGGCCCCTCGGGCAGTAATGCCACAGACCTCGCTGGTCACCGGGCAGCCGGGCTGAGACTGGGGCTGCTCTGCACCTGCTCTCTGGGGGCGGCACCGGGGTGGGTGTCTAGAGACCCCCATGCCCTGCCCCCTGCACCTGAAGGGTTTCCTCCATGGCCTGCAAGCTGCAGGGGCTACACAGCTCCCAAGAGCTCAGCTGTCCTTGGGGGGCCCAGGCCTGGCTGGTGGGTGCCCCCGGTTGGGTTCCCCGGTGTGGGGTGATTCACATCTGGTGCCCAGCGCCAAGTTGGCCTGTGCAGGGCTCCTGCCCACCCCCGTCAGTGCAAGAACACCATCTCCCCACACACTTGGCCAGCTTGCCATGCGTGCCCGTGCATGTGTGAGTGTGCGGGGGGCAAGCATGACAGGACGTGTTTATTTGAGTGCCCGAGCGATGGCTGTGTGCATGCTCACACATGCTCACACACGCTTGTTGGCCATGGGGGCAGGAAGTCCAGCCCACAGGCTTCCCCCTGGGACCTCCAGCCAGCACCTGGGGGTCTCTGCTGCACCAGTGAGGTCCAGGAGAGGGGCTGGGCAGGCAGTGCTGCCCCTCAGCATGGGTGGAGGCCCAGTGGGGCCCTGCGGGGCCCTGGTGACTCCCCCATTCCGCAGGACCAAGTTCCTGAGCGACAGGTGGATGCTGCAGAAGGGCTTTCTGAAGGAGGAGGACCTCATGGAGAAGAAGCCCTGGTAAGACTGCCCGGCCGGAGACCTACTGCCTGTGCTAGCCTGCCCAGTGTGACAGGCCGGAGAGCGGTCTCCGTGGCCTGCGCTGGCCCTGCCCAGTGTGACAGGCAGGAGAGCGGTCCCCGTGGCCTGCGCTGGCCCTGCTCAGTGTGACAGGCCGGAGAGCGGTCCCCGTGGCCTGCGCTGGCCCTGCCCAGTGTGACAGGCAGGAGAGCGGCCCCCGTGCCCTGCACTGGCCCTGCCCAGTGTGACAGGCAGGAGAGCGGTCCCCGTGGCCTCCTGCTGAGGTGCTGCCCGGTGGGGGGACAAGGGCGTGTGTCCGTATCCTGACCCCCCGCCTGCCCTCTTCCCTCAGGTGGTGGCACCTCCGTGTTCAGGAGCTGAGCCTGTCGGCCCCACTGACCGTGCTGCCGACCGTCTCCTGTGAGCACACCATCGAGATCCTCCGGGAGAAGGGCTTCGACCAGGCGCCCGTGGTGGATGAGGCGGGGTCAGTCTCAGTCCCTGCCCAGAGCTCAGTCCCCGGTTCTGTCTGTCCAGCTCCACCAGGTCAGTGTCCCCGGACAGAGCAGCTGTGCAGACCCCGCAGCTCAGCCGACAGGCCTGTCTGGGCCGCCTCATGCAGATGTTCAGGGTGTTGGAGGCCCCTTGTCGGTCCCTGAGCAGCCTGGGGCAGGGCTGCCGTGCTCACTCCTCAGACCTCGGCCCACCCACCCTTTGTGTGTGTGCAGCCCATCCTGGGCCCACCTCGGGGGCAGGGGAGAGATATCCTTGACATGTCTGACAGCAGAAGGCCTGGGCACACATGCCCAGTGACCACTGAGAGCCCCATGTCGCGGAAACCTGACGGCTGGTCACCCTCGACCCTGGCTGATAGGGTCCAAGGACTCTTGGTTTCTCTCTCCCCGTCAGGGCCCAGCCTGGTTCCTGCCATGTGTCACGGCTGGTGGCAGAGGACTGCCCAGTAGTGGCCACGAGAGTGCTCTCCCCAGGGCAGCTGGAGGGTGTGCCCTGTCGTTCCTGGAGGCATTGAGGTCCGCGGCTGACCCCTGCCTGCCCCTCCCCCCCACAGGGGGACTCCGGTGGGAATGGTGACCGCTTGGGAACATGCGTCGGTCCCTGCTTGCCGGGAAGGTGCAAGCCATCACCAAGTTGGCAAAGTCCATCTACACGCAGTTCAAACAGGTACTCAGCTACCTACGGGCAGTTCAACAGGTGCGCAGTCACCTACGGGCAGTTCAAACAGGTCCGCAGGCGCCTTCGGGACGGCAGAGGGTGCCCGAGTCCCCCCGGCCTCGAAGGCAGGATGCGGCACTTCCTGTGTGGGGGTGCTGGGTCCTTGACCCTCAACACCACTTAGGCCGAAGCTGGCTGCACCCCTCAAACCATGAAGCTGAGAAGCACCCACTTTACAAGTGCAGCAGCCAGAGAGGAGGCGCTCATCAGTGCAGGCTCATCCGTACCAGCCGTGTCTTGGGGACTTGAGGAGGTCGTTTGCGCTGAGACGCTGTCCCTGGCACCATGTGGCATCTGCTGGGATCTTTCTCATGCCCAGCCTCATTTGCCTGTGCATGCATTTGGTTATCCAATAAAAGCTAGAACATTCTGAGAGAAGCCCATGGGGGCTGTCCGTATCCTGACCCCCCGCCTGCCCTCTTCC